GAGAGGCTTATTAGGAATCGGAAGGTATTCCCATCCATAACCGGAGAATATGTTTTTTCATAGTCTATTCCCGGTCTTTGGGAAAAACCTTGTGCTACAAGTCGTGCTTTGTAGCGCACAACCTCGTTGTGTTCATTTCTTTTTCTGATGAAGACCCACTTATATCCCACAGGTTTTACACCTTTAGGTGTTTGGACTACTGGTCCAAAGACTTCGCGTTTCAAGAGTGAGTCCAGCTCTACTCCTATTGCCTCGTTCCACTTTGGCCAATCATCTCTGCGTTTACATTCCGCTAGAGACCGTGGTTCGATGTCATCGTCGTATTCAGTGACGTGAACGGCAATATCGAACGCAAAGTCGTCGTCGACGACTGTGCTTTTTCTGTCCAGTACCTCCTCAGTACGTACAAAATTTAATGATGTTTCTCCTATTTGTTCCTCTTCAGGGGAATCTAGGAGTGGAGAGGAAGCTGGTCTGAGCTCAGTATCCTGTGTTGGGGTCATCTTTATTTCTCCAGGATTTTTTCTTTTACGAGGGACTTTGTCCTTCAAACCTGGTGGGCGTCCTCTTTTCAATTGAGGTACAGCCGTTTCTACTGCCGACGGATTGCATCCATCTTTGGGGATGTCAATCCTAGCTGGCGTGTTGACAACAGGGACGTGATCTGATAATCTTCTGGTTATCAGTGAATTTATCCGGAAGTAAATGTACTATATTCTGAAGATGAAGAATCTTCAGGATCTCATCTTCACATTAACTAGTACGCGGATCATAATAAGACAGTCTTGGTGTTCCAAGAAATGGTCTTAGAAGCATCAGGCTTCCTGGACTGTGTGCCAAGTTTAGGAAATGAATCCTCAACAAATTCACAATCATCAAGACGTGCTTTAAATGCGTCACCTGTCTGGGGTTCAAGGTATCTTATTATAGAGGGCGAATCAAACCCTATATAGATACCCAAACAACGCTGTGGACCCATTTTGGTTCTTTGTGGAGGAGCAATTGGGACGTAAACTGCACAACCAAACACTCTCAAATGTGAGATATTCGGAGGTGCACCATAAGCAAGTTGCATTGGTGACAAAATATGGCCACCAGAGGGTCGTATTTTGATAAGCGAAGCGGCATGCAATATGGCATGACCCCAAGCCTCAACAGGCAACTGTGATTGCATCAACAATGGACGAGCAATCCATTGCAATCTCTTAATTAGAGATTCTGCTAACCCGTTCTGGGTGTAAACATGTGCTACATGATGTTCAACTTTGATGCCAGTTGCTAGGCAATAGTCTTGAAAGACTTGTGAAGTGAATTCTCCCGTATTTTCAAGACGTAATTTCTTGATTTGATTATCGGGGAAATGAGCCCGCAACTTAATAATTTGTGCCAATAGCTTTGAAAAAGCTAAGTTGCGGGTGGACAAAAGGCACACGTAAGACCACTTTGTTGATGCATCTATAAGTACCATAAAGTACCTAAATGGTCCACTTGCGGGGTGAATAGGCCCACAAATATCGCCATGTATTCTCTCCAAGAAGCTAGGAGACTCTAATCCCACTTTCAGAAGGGAAGGTCTCGTGATCAGTTTACCTTGGAAACAAGATAGACATGAGTAATCACCCTTCTGAAGAATCTTCAGGTTCTTCAGGTTGTGTCCACTTGATTGGCTCATGATGCGGTGCATCATTGTTGATCCTTGGTGACCCAGTCTGTTATGCCAAAGTTTAAATTTCGTCGAAGAATGGCACTTCTGGTGCACAATCATGTTAGCTTCTACTGGTTGAATATATGTATGATAGAGATCCGACGGGAGTCCCTTGAATCGTTCTAAGATAGTTTTTGAACCATCTTTTTGACGAGTTACATACAAATACTCATCCTCATTTATATCATTGGTTTCTAAGTGATATCCGTTTAAACGAATATCCTTGAAACTTATGAGGTTTCTATTAGATTTCGGAGAGAATAATGCATCTTTTATTATTAGTCTCGTTTTATTTGGGAGCAATATCATTGCTTCACCAAATCCTTCTATTATGTTAGATAGTCCTCGTGGAAGGATGTGTAAGTCTTCTCCAACATGCGTTCCTCCGAAACTTCTTCACCACACAACTTCAGGCGTGAGGTGATATTATGAAGTGCTGAGTTGTAGTCAGCTACGGACTTAAAGTCCTGAAGTCGGAGGTTTTCCCACTCATAACGTGCACGTGGGAGGATCACATCTTTCTGATGTTTATATCGGTCCTCAAGTGCAGTCCACAATTCCTTTGGGTCCTCTACAGTCAGGTATTCGGCCTTCAGGTCCGATCAATATGTCTCCTGATGTAGATAATGACTTTCGCCTTATCTATATCAGAGACGATCATTGTAGTAGCAACCTCAGCATTATTTACAGCATTACCCGTAACAGTGGCCGGAGCCGGTGGAGCAGGAGTTGAAATTGTGGCTAATAAGCCCTGGGCACGTAAGTGGAACTTCAGGTCCACATGCCAACTCAAATAATTCTTGCCAGCAGCGTCAAGGACTTCGAAATCAACACTCGCTATTTTAGCCATTTTATCTATGCATTTGAAAGACATGAATTAATAATAATGAATTAAAAATTCATTCAATAAACATGTTGTGTGGATCAGCCCGTCACCAAAAAATAAAAAGTGTCCAAAGTCCGATTATACAGTCCAAAGATAACAAAAAACATAAAATTAAAATACAATTTGGAAAACCCTTGGGGGTCCCTGCATTTTGCAAAAATGCCTTCGTCTTCAATGGAATACACCGGTCTTTGACTTTTTACAATTATATCCTCACTACAATTTCTCTCTCAGAAGGAAAAGAAAATACAAGGAATTTAAATTTGGTGACAAACAGGCTGATCCAAAAACCACAACATTATTTATTTAAACATCCATGTAATTTAATAATAATATATGCAACAGGCATAACAAATTTGGACAGTAAACTCTTGCTTTCTTTGAATTTTTTTTTCTAGACTTCTTTTTGTTTCTATGCGATACTGCCTACTTAATACTTTTAATATCATGTAGAAATTGTGAGTTTGAACTTGAAAATAACAAGTGATGATTAAAAAAAATAATGCAATTGCCCTGAATGGAAACTCTGAAACAACAAAGGGTTTAGCATTCCATTAGAAAAATGTATATGTGTTTAAAGAATAGCATTAAAAACTATAGGGGTCAAATATGATTTTATGTCATGTTAACTGGACATATACAATAATACCTTGGTGTTGGTGTTACTGTTTTCTTCTCAAGAATATGTAATTTAAGAGCATTTCCCTAGCAATGGTCACTTCCGTTAATACTAAGCAAAACCAAATAATATTCATGGTAATAGGAAGTGCTATCAGCGTAAATGTGCAAATTTAACACAATATATGAATTTTTACAAACTAGCAGAAGCCGCAGAACTTCTCGCCAGTTTCATCAACATGAGCACATAATTTTTTTTTTGATTAGCAATTAACTAATAGTATTAATTACTAGTTATGCTAACAAATAATGAAAGCAATTAGATTAGATGAACAACAATAAAATTGCTTAATAAACCAAAAAAAAAAAATTCCCGAGTGAACAGTAACCCTCGGTGAACAGTAACAAATTTTTTTCCCCTTGTTAATTTTTCAGCTGCCATATATTATTCTCGGTGAACAGTAACAAAATTTTTTTCCCCTTGTTAATTTTTCAGCTGCCATATATTATTCTACGGATTATAGTAATTACCTCTAGATCACAGATCTAGGGACGGTCGATACTAAAGATCCGTAGAACGCTGCCTCCTTGCGATGATCCGTCGAATGCTCCCGTTGCAACGAACCAGATCTCAATGCGCAAAAGAGGAAGGAAATATATTTTTTTTATGGCTCAGGGATTCAAGAACACTTCGTGCTGATAACGTGTTTAAAGCAAGTACATAGGCCAAAGGCCTATGATATATATTTATACTAATCAATGTGAATAGGTTGAGTATCCAAGAGTCACCCTCACTTAATGGGGTGTTACATCACCATAATGGGGTGTGAATGGAGGGATAATGAGGGGGAGGCCAAAGGCCTCCCTCATCTCATAATAATAATAATTATAATATAATAATAATTATAATATAATATAACTCATTAAAGTATAATATAATATTATATTGCATTATATTTAATACTTATAATACTATAATAATGTAAACTAAATATTATAACATTTTATTTACAATATATTTTATTATAACTAATATATAATATATTAATAATATGTTTAATACTAATGTTACAATGGATCAAACTAGTGTTGACAAAAAATATTTAACATGGTGTTTTGAAAACATTTTAAGGGAAAAACACACCACCAAGGTTTTTTTAACAAAAACACAAGAAGGGAAACACCATGGTATCTAAACAAATCCTAAGTAATGGGTTTCAGTTTTCGACTTAAAAATCTGATTGGTTTTAAACCCAATATTGCCAAAGAAACTAGTTTAGGGTATAAGTAATAGAGAAATCGGGTTTTGCTTTAATCCACACGTGTCCATGGTTTGTCCATGGTGAATATGTGTCCCACACGTGTTGGACACAGACACAGCACCGAAAGTGCTGTGTCCAAGTAACCGAGATGCTAACCATTCAACATTAATTAACTGGTTTACTGTTTCTTTCACTGATGAACTTTGTTGCATTACTGACACTTATTAGTCATAGAGTAACTGTGTCCTAAGTTTAAACTATGTTAAGAAATCAAGTGTAACCTTGTGTAACCTGTGAAGCTGCAATTCTATTATTCTTGGTTCAAGTGTACTGTATCTAGCGTCTACTTACGTGGTTGCATTTAATCTGTTTGGATTTCAATCTACCTGTTACTTGTTACAAGCGTATGTTTATGGCTGTTTTTTTAGTCCTTTCTCGTCGTTATTTACATCCTTAGTAACTGCACTTAATTTTCGGTCATATTCCGATTAATTAAAACTGCTATAATCTTCCTTTTTTCTGTTCTCAGTTGAATAGAAATGTTAGTGAACCAAGGAGCATTGGAGTTATTGGGGATAGAGGATCACTCTCGAGAGAAAGTAAGTAATATAATTATGCACGAACTTTTAACATTCTTGTTCGCAGCAGGAAGAAGTTTTGACTTCGCCAGGAGAAATGCTGCTAAGTACTAACAATTTTGAGCTAGTCATTTTAGTAATCACATCTCATAATATTTCCTATTTCCAACTTCTTTTCTTGTCATACCTTAATAAAAAAAGGAAGAAGTAAAAGGAGAACCAAAAAAAAAAAGGCAAGAATACAGATTTTTGTTGACTGACCAGCTTTATACCATTCTACCGATTCCCCATTCTATAGTTAAAATTTATGCAGTCTAACTCTATTTCTTTCTACCATTCTACCGAATCCCCATTCTCATAGTTAAAATGTATGCATTCTAACTCTATTTCACTGGTTGTTTTACCTTTACCTAGGCTGCATACTTCTAAATTATGTTTGCTGTTCTTTGGTGCATAAAATTGAAAGGTGTGATAATCTGGAAGTTAAGCAGTATGCGTAGATTTCTGTCTCTGGGTAAATCTAGTCTGGACTAGTGCAAACCAATTTAACTTGTGATAATCTGGAAGTTAAGCAGTATGCGTAGATTTCTTTCTCTGAGTAAATCTAGTCTGGACTTGTGCAGACCAATTTAACTTGTGATAGTCTGGACTTGTGCGGGCCAATTTAACTTGTGATAGTCTGGAAGTTAAGCAGTACGCATTGTTTTTGCAGCAGTTCTGCTTTCTTCTTGCTGAATGATTTTTTTTCATCTTCCTTAGGTTCATCTACTGCAGACTGGACACAGGAAGCAGACTTTTCAATTTGGCGAGATCAACAGGTACTAGATGCTGAAAATGTGCAGGATGGTAAACGATGGAGATCACAACCCCACAAATCTGCAGCTTGGTTTGCTGAAGCAAAGCCACTGCATAGAACGACTTCATATCCTCATCCTCTACCACAACCACCACACTCGAGTACTGATGCTATTCATGTACCTGCTGGTCGATCTCAAATTCTGTCTCGTCATTCTAGCATACCTTCTAGTTTCCAGATACCATACACTTCACCAAACCTTTCATCCTTCACTCCTCAACTTCATTTATCAGGACTGCCACATGGTCCCCATGGTGGAAAGATGGGTCAGTTTTCTCCTTCAGGACTCTCCATTAATAGTAGGTCTCCGTCTCAGAACCAGTGGTTGAAACAACCTAACATATTTACCAGGGATGAAACCACTTTATTGCCTAACATGTTAAGGCAACAGTTATCTCTGCCAAATCGGTTATTGCCATCACATTTATTATTGCAGCAGCAGCAGCAGAGATTACAGCAACTTCAACCACCATTTTCCCATTTACAAGCTCAAATATTCAACTCCTATCCTCCACCACCGCATATGACGAACAAACTTGATTTGATACTTGGAATGGGTGACCTTCGAGAGCAAAGGCCGAAACCTTCTCCAAAGGGAAAACAGAAAATGAGATTTTCTCAACACAGTTCCGATGCTAGCCAGAAGGTTGATATTTCTTTTCCACAATTTTCATCCAAGTACATGACAGCTGAAGAAATCGAAAGTATTCTGAGGATGCAGCATGCTGCAACTCACCGTAATGATCCTTACACAGACGATTACTACCACCAAGCTTGTTTAGCAAAAAAATCCGCTGGTTCTAGAATGAAACAGCATTTCTATCCATCATCTATCAGGGATCTGCCTTCTAGATCCCGTACCAGTAATGAACCACATGCGTATCTTCAGGTTGATGCTTTAGGGCGGGTTCCATTTTCTTCTATCCGAAGGCCTCGGCCCCTTCTTGAAGTTGATCTGCCATCTGTATCTGGGGATGGAATTCTTGAGCAGAAATCTTCAGCGAGGCCACTTGAGCAAGAGCCTATGTTGGCAGCCAGAATTGCTGTTGAAGATGGACTCTGCCTTCTCCTTGACATCGATGACATTGATCGCCTATTGCAGTCCAGCCAGCTACAAGATGGTGGGTCCCAACTGAGGCGGAGGCGCCAGGTTCTTCTAGAAGGTCTTGCGGCTTCACTTCAGCTTGTTGACCCCCTTGGCCCAGGTCAAGCTGGCCATTCTGTGGGGCTTGCACCAAAAGATGATCTTGTGTTTCTTCGTCTGACCTCGCTTCCAAAGGGCCGGAAGTTACTTTCTCGCTTCCTTCAGCTTCTTTACCCCGGAAGTGAGCTGACTAGAATAGTGTGCATGGCTATTTTCCGTCACTTGCGGTTTTTATTCGGCGGTCTTCCCACTGATTCTGGTGCGGCTGAAACTACAGTGAATCTTGCTAGAATTGTCTCTTCTTGTGTTCGTGGAATGGACCTCAATGCTCTCAGTGCTTGTCTCGCTGCTATTGTCTGTTCTTCAGAGCAGCCACCTCTTCGACCTCTTGGGAGTGCTGCTGGTGATGGAGCATCAATCATTATAAAATCCCTTCTTGAGAGAGCAACTGATCTGCTTACTGATCCTCATGCTGCCAGCAGCTACAGCATGCCCAATCGATCTCTTTGGCAAGCATCTTTTGATGCGTTCTTTGGACTTCTCACGAAATATTGTGCGAGTAAATACGATAGTCTAATGCAAACATTGCTCATGCAGTCGCCTAGTATGCACATTGGATCAGAGTTGAGTAGAGTTATCAGCAGAGAGATGCCTGTGGAATTACTGCGTGCAAGTATTCCTCATACTGATGACCATCAGCGTAAGCAGTTGCTTGATTTTGCTCAGAGGTCTATGCCCGCTACAGGATATAGTGCCCATGGAGGTAGCACTGGACCAATGACTTCTGAATCAGTGCCAGGCTAATGGACAGTGATATAAAGTAAGTGCCTATATGTCACAGGTTTGAGAATCTGTAGAAGTCAGGTGAATTACCGGTAACTCGTAACTTTTGTCAAAAACTTTTAATTGGATAGCTTTCCAGTTTTACTGGTTCTTGTGTAATTAGGATTCTAATAATATGTATACATGTTGGTCTTTATATGTGTTGCTCGAGTACATTGGAGTAGTTGTGGTTGGAAAATTGTCCTTCGGTGGAGCCAAGTTTTGGTGCTCTGGATGGGGGACCCTCAGATAATTGGGGTAGTGGATAGATATCTGTACAGGTTCTGTTACTGGAAGCGGTACTTTGAAGATGGGGTGAATGCCCACAAGATAGCTCTTTTACGTATGCTTTTAGTTGACTGGAAGTTACTGATGACAACTTTGTGCTTCATGCGTGTTGTTATAAGATGCACGTTAGTACCTGTAACATTATTTCTTGACTATATTTTGTGTCAAATTTCTTTTTATGTGTTCTGATTATATGCATCTGTGAGTAAAAAAAAATATGCAGATTGAATATTTTAATTTGCTTTTAAGTCGCCATATGCTCATTGATAACGTCTATTCTTTTTCCTGAAGGGCTCTCTCTTGTTGAATAATCGAAACTGTTCAGTTATGTCTTTTCGGAAATAGTTCCTGCGAGTTGGATGGCTCCTTCATGAAGTGTTTGCCTGTTGGTCGAGTTAAAAAAGATTTGAGCCATGCCTGCGACCCTCAGACTAAACGTGTGTTATTAGTAATTAATTTGTATTTCTTGCGTTTCTGTGGTGTAATTTCTGCTTATCATGGTACGGAATGTGATAGTGGAGGTTGGATAAAATGTTCGACGGTTTGTAACGATAAAATTGCTTGATTCCGTGGAGATGCATTTTGACTTGTGAAATGCAGCAACATTTTCGTGTAGTCGATAGTTCCTGCCGTTGGGATTTTGCATCTAAAGGGTTGCGGGAAATTTAAGTTTTACTTGGCGCGCAGCATGTTCAACTAAATGCTCTAAAGTCCTCCAGTGTATCATTACTGCATGTGGAGAAATAATACAGATGGAAAGTTTATGCACCCGTTTTTTGTCAATATGGAGAGAACTAATCACGTTTCTTGTGGTATTCAAAGCATCAGAGTGTCCGCTTAGCTTCGTTCCCCTTGAAGATGAAGTTATGTCTTGACATTTTTGTTGCTAGGCATGCTCATGCAGATCATGTGGTACTGCATGCATATTATATGTACCAAGCATTTGTGAATATTTTGAGATTGTCCCATAATTTTTTCCTCCATTTATCAATGTCCGACAAATTCAAGGACCCCTTCTTCCCCGTTTAATTTCTTCTTCGATATAGTTAATACAACAAAACTGACCAAATTGAAATGTTGGAGGAAACAAATAAAAAAATTTAGATGCGTAAATGCCATTTAATAACTTGTAAATCTCATAGATAAGTTTCCGTTGGTAAAGTGCACAAAATGCGAGATTCATTTTTGGAGTACCATGGATTGTGACTTTCAAAGTCAGCATGCACTCATATTGGAGGCTTGCTTTGGGAGATCAAAAGGCATTTGTTGCTAGAAATAGAGTAGATTTTCATATATGAGCTTTGCTATATGGACCTAAAATATGGGACCAACAGGGGGATATGTGAGGTATCCCCCTCCTACTGCAAAATGAGCTGACCATCATTAACCTATTACATAATGAGTTGGCCATCATTAATGATGATCAGCTCATTATGCAGTAGGAGAGGGACACCTCACCTGTCCTCCCTGTTAGTCCTATATTTTGGGTTCTTGGAGAATTTTTCTTTCATCATATTGAATTGTAAAAGTATTACAACTACTTTCAATTTGTTGCTACTCTTTTGTCGGTTTAATGCCAACTTTTTCCACATTGCTAGCGGCAAATGTGAACAAATGTATGCTCATGCAAATAATGTGGTACCATGGAGTTTGTTAATATGCATATATTATTTATGTGGATAGTTTCTCCATATTTTTTTTCTCTTTATCAAAGTCCATAAAATCCAAGAATGTTGTTCCTGTTTATATGTACTTTTCTCCATATCACTATATATACATCATTACTGATCAAATTAAAACTTTACATGAAATGAATATGAACTCTTAGATGCATAATATACTATTTAATAATTTCTATAAAAAATATTATTTAATAATTTATAAGTCCTGGTTCCACTAACCCCTCACACACTCATTCAACACTCTGATGCTTTTATGTACATTAATAAGCACTATTTATAGATCAATCTCAAAAAAAATCCAGCATCATTTGGTAATGATATACTGGACATCATGTAGTGTTGTGCGCAGCAGCAATTTCAGAGCACCACCGGTGCGTAAGGTGCACAATAAGAGATTAGATCATAACGAAATTCTCATTTCACAAAGGAAACAAGAACCGAAAGCAAAATATCTCAACAAAGTGAGATATCAGTTCTTCCTCTCATTAGTTCTAGGACTGACTTGTCGAGGGAACCTACAAGCTATTACAAATCATAGCAAGACAAACTATTTTACGTGATTCGGCAAATAACCTACGTCCACGGGGCAAGGAGGGGGAGATCTACTATTAGAGGGAGAGAATACAACTTGGGTTTATAATCTCACAATCTAAACCCTCAAACTAACTCTCAAAACAACAAAAAGAACTATGTTTCTCCTGATGCACGTAGCCCAAGAAACACACATCAGACTTTTCTCTACAATTTTCTCCTCTGCTTGTACTTGCACCTGTACGCCGCACAAATTTTTCTCCTCCCCGTTTTTTGCTCTTGCACCCACTGTTCACGAAACCCTAGGTGCTATATTTATAGCAGCTTTGAATCGGGTGGGCCTTTGTCTGGGTTTTTGCTTTGTCCAGCGAAAAAGATATACACGCCTATCTCTTCACTCGTTGTCCAGCTGGAAACCTGCTGGACTTTCACGCGGTTTGCTGGCCCCCGCAATCAAATCCACTCAAAGATCCGCTGGACCTTAGCTTTGCTTCACGTCTTCACGTGTCCTCTTGATCACTTCACGCGTTTTGTGGCCCCCCTCTGGTCACACGTTCACAATTCTCCACCTCAGTGAAGTTTTTCCAAAACCGAGCCGACACCAAAGCATCCAAATGTCCCACTTGTTATGTCCAGTACGCCGTGAAGTTAATTCACGACAACGGATTCAATCCACAACAAGTCGGGAATCCGAACGATAGTCCAAACAATCTCACCCCCATCAAAATCAACTAATCCAAACCGACTGTATCGTAAAGACTGCCTACGTATCCTCTTGCCCAAGGAATCAACCCGAACGTAGTTCACCCAAATGTCCTCCAAAGGCCTCAACATCGAAGAATGTTCAAAAGCTCCAAACAATGACCAAACTTCACACCTGAAACCACTTTGGTCAACATATCTGCGTGGTTGTCCTTCGTGTGGACCTTCTCCAATATGACGTCTCTATCATCCAAAACGTCACGAACAAAATGGAATCTGACATCAATGTGCTTCGTGCGTGCATGATAAACCTGGTTATTCGCCAAACAGATAGCTGACATGCTATCACAATATATCCGAAGGGTCTCCTGTGTAATCCCTAAATTCTCCAATAATCCATGCAACCACAAAGCCTGCTTAACAGCTTCAGTCACTGTCATATACTCTGCCTCTGTAGTAGAGAGAGCCACTGTGGACTAAAGTGTACATCTCCAATATACCGGTGCACCTACCAATGTAAACACATATCCTGAAGTAGACCGGCGCTTGTCAAGATCTCCAGCATAATCTAAATCCACATAACCAATACAATCCTGCTCATTCTTCTCATCCTTCTCGAATACCAAACCAACATCCACGGTGCCTTTAACATACTGTAGAATCCACTTTACAGCCTCTCAATGACCATTCCGGGGGTCATGCATGTACCTCGATACCATGCTCACGGCCTGTGACAAATCTGGCCTTGTACATACCATAGCATACATCAAGCTACCCACCACACCGGCATATGGAACCTTCGACATATTTTCTCTGTCCTCAACTGAAACAGATAGCATCTTAGCTGAAAGCTTAAAGTTGGGAGTCAATGGAGTGCTCACTGCCTTTGCATTGTCATCAAAGCTAAATTTCTTCAACATCTTCTGAGATAACTCCTCTGTGTTAGCTTCAATCTCCCCTTCACCCCGTCTCTCTCGATCTCCATACCCAATATCTTCTTCGCTTCTCCAAGATCCTTCATCTCGAACTCGAATGACAGCTCCTCTTTCAACGTTCGAATAGCCGAAGAATTCCTAGAAGTAATAAGCATATCATCAATATATAAAAGCAAATATATGTGCTCACCATCCTGTAGCTTGTGCATGTAAACACATGGGTCATATAATATATGTGCTCACCATCCTGTAGCTTGTGCATGTAAACACATGGGTCATATGGGCTCCTCGTGTACCCCTAGCCAATCATGAAGCTCCTGTAGCTTGTGCATGTAAACACATGGGTCATATGGGCTCCTCGTGTACCCCTAGCCAATCATGAAGCTATCGAATCTCTTGTACTACTATCGCGATGATTGCTTTAATTCATAAAGAGACTTCTTTAGCTTGCAAACCAAATCTTCTTTTCCTATAGCTTTGAACCCCATAGGTTGTGTCATGTAGATTTCCTCTTCTAAATCTCTATGTAGAAAGGTTGTCTTCACATCCATCTGGACCAAATCTAAATCCAGCTGTGCTACCAACGTCAATAAAATCTGAATCAACGAATGCTTCACAACGGGTGAAAATACCTCGTTGTAATCAATGCCCTCAAGTTGTGCATATCCCTTGGCAACCAATCTGGCTTTGAACCGAATGTCCCCAATAGAAGATCCTTCCTTCTTCGCATATATCCACTTGTAACCAATAGCTTTCTTACCCTTAGGTAGCTTTGCAAGTTCCCAAGTGTCGTTCTTCTGAAGAGATCGCATCTCATCCTCCATAGCTTCCCTCCACCTGATCGAATTGGGGCTAGACTCTGCCTCCTTGAATATAGACAGAACCATATCATCAACGACCTCTACTGATAATGCATATGCGACCATGACATCATTATACCTTGTTGGCCGATGAATCGCCCTTCTAGGTCTATTCGCTGCAATAGACTCCTGAACATGACCTTGCTCCTGAGTCTCACAATCCACTGTATATTCTATCTGCCAGGCTGTTATCCCATCTCCTCCTAGTATCACCTCTGTAGGAGCCTCGATGGATACAATACTCTCTAGAGTGAGTGGAGTCACATCATCCTCCACCTGCTGTGACATCTCCCGAATCTGGTCTTCCTCCACCCGCTGAGGAACTTGAGGCTTCATCATGTATACGTCTCGTCAAATGTGACATCCCTGCTAATAACTATTATCACGCTCCACTTTCCAAAATACCTGGAAATTAGAACGTGAACAAGTCCGCGACGTATTAGATTAAGGAGAATGAATAAAAATAAACAATTCTTCTCAAC